TGGGTAGCTGGCTGTGACCAAGCAATGACCATAACCTTGCCCCTTGTCAGCTCTACTATACACCTGGGAATTCTGATCATTCACATGAACTTATGGGCCTGGTGTTTTTAAGCAGAGGCTGTGCGATTCTTCCACCGTGCTCTCCTGTGGTCCCTTGGAGGACTAAGGCCTTGGAAAGGTGTTAACAGGAGGGGGCGCGGGGGCTGTTCTGGAATCAGAGAGAAACCCTTCTCTCCTCCAGCTTCTTGCTGGGCCGTGAACTATGAACTGATTGACGCTGCTCAGCCCCTCAGCCCTCAGTGTCCGGTCTTTTTCTAAGGGTTAGACCTCATTGGAGTCTGTGTGTAGACGCCCGCTGCCCCCCCCAGTGCCCCACTGACCGATGCCCACTCACCCCGTTTTTCCCATCGTCATTGTTCTGATGTTATGCACAGACACAGCAGCACAGTGTGGTTAGCCGTGTCTGCGTTTATGTCCGTGGCGGAGGTGACAGCCTCGGACTTGAATGATGCTCTGTGCTCCTTTTCTGAACTGTTCTCCCCGTGAGTGTCGACTCACCGCCCCAGGAGGTTGCTCTCTGAGCTCTTGTGTTGCTCTTGTTCGGTGGTCTTGGTTTTACGCTTTACAACCCTCCCTGGAAGGGGAATGGACCCTAGTGGCCGTCCCTGGGGTGCTTTGGTGCAGTTCACCAGCTGTGGGGCAAACCTAGCCTGGGGTGCCAGGTGGAGGGCTCGTGCGGAAATTCCAAAGGCTATTTCGAGGCTGCCTTCCAGACGCTGTCCCGACCCCGCCCAGGCACGAGGGTGCCCACCTCTGCCTGCAGGGGTCGTCACTGCCGTCCTCTCGCCCGCCCGGCACGCAGACAGTGGTGGAGCAAGTCTGGACTGCTGTGCTAATGTCAGCGAGCATCTGGCTGCTGCACACCTCGGGCCCCTCTGGCCTGGGATGGGCCTGTCCCCCAGCCTCTGACGTTGTCCCGAGTGCGACTGGCTGTCGCTGGCCCCTGTCCTCCCACGTTTTCCTGGCCGCCTCTCCTGCATGTTGTGTGGCGTGCTGAGCTGGTGGAGTGTCCGTCCCTCTGATGCTGGTTTTGGGGTGAAGGGCTTTGCTCATGCCCCTCCCATGCACACCCCCAGGAAGCATGGCTGTTGGCCCGGGAACGGGAGCTGAAGGAGGAGCTCCGGAAAGGCCGGGACAAGGACATCGAGCTGGTCATCCAGCGTCTTGAGGCGGACATGACCCAGGCCCGGGAGGAGGTGGAGCGGGCCGCCGAGAGCCGGTGAGGCTGGAGCCAAGGCCGGGGTGGGGTGTTGACGGGCCTGGGGGGCACACCCCCAGGGCTGACCCTGCCCCCCAGAGTCAAGCGCCTCCGGGACAAGTTTGAAGCGGAGCTGTCGGAGCTGGAGCGGTCGGAGCGGCGGCTCCGGGAGCAGTGCTCGGAGCTGAAGGGCCGCCTCGGGGAGGCCGAGGGGGAGGCTGTGCGGCTGCAGGGGCTGCTGCGGCTGAAGGAGCAGGCGCTGGAGGACGCCAGGGCGGTGAGCGGGGGGGCAGGCGGCCCCCACAGCCCCCCCACCCGCCCCTGCTCACGCCCCTGGCTGCACACCTCCCTGTCCCCTCACGGCCCCCTCCCTCCCCCGCCCAGGTGAACCAACGGCTGACAGGTGAGCAGAGCGGCCTGGCCCAGGTGGTCCGGCAGGAATTTGCCGAGCGGCTGGGAGCCACAGAGGGGGAGAATCAGCGGCTCAAGGCACAGCTGGAGCGGCTGTCGCGGGAGAAGCAGGAGGAGCTGGAAGAGGTGCACCGCAGGTGGGGGCCCTGCGGGGGTGTGCGCCGCCGGTGGGGGACGCGCTGCGGGGCTGTGCGCCGTGGGTGGGGGATGAGCTGCAGGGGTGTGCGCCATGGGTGGGGAGAACGTGCTACGGGGGTGTGGGCCGTGGGTGGGGGACGCGCTGCGGGGGTGTG